TTTTAGATAAACTGAAAGGTCTTCTTCAGGAATTGTGGTGTGGTCTGAGGAGGGGTTTGTAGAGGTGGGGCAGTGGTGGGCAAAATTGGAATGGGTTGAGGAGAGAAGTATCGGAGTTAAAATAAGGAACAGCCTAAGAAGGAACCTAGGATAGTCAGCTGTCGGGCCTGTATAAATGGCTCCCCAGAGCACCCCCATGGCCCAGACACCATAATGAGGACTTTTGATGGTAATATTGACCCGCCAAACACCACAGTTAAAGAATGAGAGATGTTGGGGCTGGTGAGATGGCTCAGTGGTCTAAAGCACCTACTTAGAACAAGCTTAGCTAAGCAAAGCACAGGGACTGCGGTTCAATCCCCCAGCACCACATGCCAGCCAGCCCCGCCCCCTGGTGGGCTGAGCTGGCCACACACACACACACACACACACACACACACATAAATAAATAAATAAAATTAAAAAAAAAAAAAAAAGAATGAGAGATGTGTGGATCGTTAGTCAAGTGGACACCATAATGAAAACCTATGGTTTCGCATTCCAAACTGGGGCAATAGAAGTTTGAACTGTCGTCATAACCCTCCCTATAGGCTGGACACAGATTGAATCCAGGGACATGCAGGAGACAAAAGGCGTCTTTTCTACCTTTGTACGTAAATTTATGGGGCCTATGCGTTTTCCAATATAAGAGATCATCAAGTGCTTATAAGACTTGCATCAAGGGGGCTGGAGATACAGCTCAGCAGCATAAGTACCTGCCTGGTAAGCATAAGGTCCTGAGTTCAATCCCTGGTACTGCAAACCAAAACCAAAACAAAACAAGACTTGCAATGGGAAGCAGCCACCTTGGTGAGAGGAGTGATCAGAAGGGGAAAAGAAGAGTAAGGGCATCATAGTTATTTCCTGCAAAACAGGCAGAAACTATCAATTGGGAATCGTGTCCTGAGAGTTTAAGGAGTTTAAATGTGAATCTGGGTTGCTGTTAAGAGACCAGGGGAGAACCAAGGACAAAAATTAGTAAGGGCCTAGAGGGTCTCATTATCCTTAGTGGTGTGAGATTTGGGACAAGCAAAGAAGAGTGCAGAGTCCAAGCACAGTCACCCCGTAGAGGACCATGAGACCAATCTGGTGTGGTGTCTGCAAGTCTTTGGGACAGATGGCCTAGAATCCAGCAGCAAATGCAAAGGTCAGCAAGACATAGGGTATTAAGAACCACATAGGATAGCAATTCATGAGTTAGCTTAGATGTTTGTCAAGGACATTGGTGAGGCAGAGATGAGTAGGAGGCAGGAGATATGATGGCCACTCTGAAGATGAGAATTTGGGATTGGAGGTATCAGGGATATCAAGGTATTAGTTAGCCTGGATGATATAGAAATAGGATAAAAGGCCAGCAACCTTTACTGCTGTTGCTGTTATGAGGATAAACAGGTGGGGTTCTGTCCACTTGGGTTGCAGGCATGTGGGCTTAGAAGATCTGTGATATATTAAATCTATAGGAGTTTATAGGGGGTTCTGGTTGAGGATTATCTATTGGTTGTGGAAGATAGAGGTGTGTTGTCTCAAAAGATATAGGAGGAAAGAGAGAATGGGGATATAGTTGGAGAAAGGAGGAAGGTTTTGTGAAGTAGGAAAGTTGTGAAGCAGGAATGGTTTACCATACATCAGTGCAAAGGGGTTTAGAAAAGTGGGTGCACTGGGAAGTGCCCTGAATTGAGTTAGGGCTAAAGGAAAGAGCTGAGGCCATGGTAAGTGTAGCTCTAGAATAAATTTGTGAGGTGTGTTTTGAGAAGTCTGTTTGCCTTTTCTACTCTTCCTGAGGATTATGGATGGTATGGAATGGTATGTGTAAATGCCAACTGATAGTTAGACTCAAGGATACCTACTGAGTAATCTGAGAGATAAAAGCTCGTTTGTTGTCTGATTGGCTAGACTAGGGATATGCCAAATCAGGGGATCATTTCTGGTATAACAGTTTCAGAAACTATGTCTGCACTCTCTTGAGCAGTGGAAAATGCTTCTATCCATCCCAAGACAAAACCTACAAAGGTAAGAAGATATTTATAGGTCTTACGATGAGGCATGCATGTGAAATCTATCAGTCTTTGCCTAGAGTGTGTCCATGAAGTTGGGGGTTGGGAAAGGAGGAGGTAAGTGTCCCTGAGAGGTTTTGCCACAGAGATGGCAACCTTGGGTGACTTGGCAAATAATGGTTTTTTAATGGATGGGTGGTGATTGGAGTTACAAATTTATATAGAGCCTGGGTGGCCACATGAAAGCAGTTGTGTAAGTCAGATGGGTGAGGCCTGTTGATCTGGGAGGAGAAGCTTTGATCCCTGGATAATCCACCCCTGAATGTTTTGGTTATAGTTTGGTTCATGGAGTAATTGGAGCTGTTTAAATAAACATGGTTGAGGTTGGTTATCTTTTGGTTGTGGAAGACACAGGTGAGTGTGTTGTCTCAAAAGATATTGGAAGAAGTAGTATACGGGGATATCGTTGGTGAAGGGAGGAAGGTTTTGTGAAGCAGGAAATGTAGGAAGTGTCCATGTTGGTTGAGTATTGAGGTGAGGGCAGGGTGCTTGGGACAAGGGGGAGAAGATGAGAAGGGCATGGCTGTTGTGTAGATAACTTTGGAATATATGTCAGTAGAAGTGTTGCCATGAGAAATAGGATCTGATGGTGTTTGGTGTCCTCTGCCGTGAGCAACTGTTACCTGCTTTGGGAGCTGTGCTGCCTCTAGAAGCTTGAGGATGAGGGGTACATTGGTGATGGGGGTTCCTGAGTGCTGATTTGGCCCCTTTCTTGCCAGATGGCACCATGGGACTGAAGAATACTAAATGTGTATTTTGAGTCAGTATAGATATTTATGATTTTGCCTTTGGCTAGTGTGAGGGCCCATGGAGGGGATAAATTATGGCTCTTGTGAAGATGTCCCCAGTGTCAGTGGACTTGCCTCTATCACTGTAGATCTTCAGACTATGGCATATCTTGCCCTTTTGTGAGTGCCCATGTTGGTTGAGCTGCCATCTATAAACCATGTGTCAGAGGCTATAGGGAGAGGAGTGCTCTTGATATGAAGGAAGGGATGGGGTCATCTGTAAGACTTCAGTTCAGTTGTGGTGAGGGGTCTCATCAGAGGAGGGGAGCAAGGTGGCTTGTTTGAGGGGACTGCTAGTGGAGATAGTAATGGAAGTGTCTGCATGAGCACCAGAAGGACCTGCTGTATGCAGGAAGGAGCCATCAGCAGGGAATGTCTTGTGTGAGATGAGCTCATTCAGACAATGAGGTAAGTGTACTGTGATTGATTGGCCTAGTATGACCTTTTTTTGCCTCTTCTGTTAGTGTGGCTGCTGAAGGCAGGGGCCCATCACGTACTATGTTGTCTTTTTGATAGCATGCTACTGCTTGAAATGAAGTCCCTTTTTGTAGTAGGCACTTGGAGGTCATGAAGGAGGCCTCACAATCAATAGTGGTTGAGACAGTAGTAGGAGTGGGAGTGAGTTCTAGATATTTGACCTTTGGTGACGCTATTTGAGCTTTGGCAGGAGAAACCCTATATCCACGACCTAAGTGAAAGCATGTTGTATGGCTGCAGCATAGAGGGAGAACAGAGAAGAAGGTCGTCTATATATTGGAGGAGACTACTAGGTTTGAGATTGAGGGCCGCCAGGTCAATAACAAGGGCCTGGCAAAGGAAGTGAAGACTGTCCCTGAATCCTTGAGGCAGGCTTGATGTGAAAAGAAAAGAGGAAGTTGAGGTTAAGCAGGGAGGAGAACACAAAAGTTCGTCTTGGAGTGATATGTTGTTGTTTCTGGCTCCCACGCCATGTTGGACCATCACCACGGTGACTTGGCAGATTTCCCTACATGGACAGAAACCCATCAGACTTGAGGACGGCAAGTTTTACACAGGTTGAAGAGGGAACAAGAGGAGATGGGAGGGTGGGGTATGGGAACAACAGCCTGTGTGTGTGTTAGCAGTCAGTGAGGAATCATCCAGGGATTCCCAGAAGGGTGATTCGATCAGGCCCAGGGTGACAACGTAGAGCAGGATCAGATGTCCCTTCTGTTCTTTGAGGGTTCTGTTCTTC